AGCATAATATGAAACTAGGAGATGCATTATCATCCTTCACATTAATTTTCTTTCTTTTTTGTCTTTCTTTATTTAATGGTACCTTGTATTAACTTTCTTAATCAAGAAAGACTACTGTAGTTGTGTTTGTTTATGTATTTTTTGGTTATGACTTGAGTTTTTTGGTTACATGGGTTCGATGATGTTAAAATGGTGAAGAGGTGTCGGAAATCAAAAGCAAACATGATGCTGAAAAATTTGGCAAGTGATGATATATAGGGGAGGACAGGATAGAAAATGTTGAACCTTTACAATCGGTTCCTTATAATTAAGTTGTGGACTTTTTCCACCAACATCCTCTCCTGGTATTGCTGATACTTCATTAATGGAGCTGATGAAAAACAAATGCAGAATGGTTTACACCTTGGAAATTAAGGAGGGAAAGACCAAAAAACCTAAACAAATGCCATGATAAAAGATTGTTCACAAATTACCTCCTGTACTAATCCCCCCTACTGTGTGTCTCTTGTGATAAGTGTATTACTGTATTTTGCTGATTTGTATAAGCTATTTTAGAACCAGACTACTTCGTGATAGGGTGTGTGTGTGTGTATCATAAGTAAATATTCCTCCAAGAAGAAATCCTGTGCAGCTCAAAAATGTAATACATGCTAGAGTGTAGTCTGCCATTGCTTCAAAATACCATATATTGTTTAAAGGGGGAAATGTATGGTTTTATATGGTAATTCTTGATGGTGGTAAAGATTAGCAATAGTTTTCTGTTTTGTCACAAATCAAAATATTCAAAAGTAATTTTTGGAAAACAATAGAAGGGATAATTAAGGCAGCTTTTCAGCAAGTTAGTACTAAAAATGTCAGAGGCACCCATAGATTTATCACAACAGCTGCTTAATTGAGTGTGATGGCAGGAAGACCAGACAGTTGCATGGCTGGAAACAACATTGTGCTAGATTTCTGTGTTTTCTAATTTCCTAGGCAGAAATAGAACAAAATAAATAATAACAAAATAAAATTGTTTGTAATACTCTTTAAGGCACTGGTCTTTGAATTTTCATGTCTGATTGAGATAGATTTCAAGAAAGCTTGTACAGTATATGTATCTCTTCACAGTACATTTAGGTGCTTTCAGAGTACAGTATTCTTTTATACAAACACATTTTATCATGTATTGCAGCTTTGCTAAGTGGATTGTTTCTGTTATTTTCCCCAGCTAGTATTTCCTCCACGATATGTCCAAGTACATCCTGTACCATTTCCTTTACAAATCAAACAGTATGGATGATGATGTACAAATGACATGTGAAAATATATTAGTCTTGAAGGTGCTGCTGGTGACCTCATCTTCGTTTGTTTGGCTTCTAAAATGACTGTCTCGCCATCTACCCAAAATAAACCTGCCATGTTTTAAAACATTATTTTAAAATATAATTAGTAACCTAGAAAAAGGCAGTTGTATGCCTGTGGATATTCTACTAATGATGTATTGGGATTGTCAATATATGTAATATTGGTAATGCATATACAGTGATAGTAAGGAAAAGTAAACAGTGTTGCTACCCTTTACATAGTGTTGAGGGATAGCAGTGGTTTAGCTGGGTTTTCCCTGGAATTTTGAAAAGAAAAATGACAGTCCAGTGTAGCTATTGTATGTCAACGTCTGAGTAAAATCAGCTGGAATGGAGTATGCTCAGATAGCGGGGGAAATGAGGTCAATCAGTGATTATAAGCTTGATAGCTGTTATTATCCACACAAAGGTTTTCCAGCTATGGTTTTAGGGTGTTCATATTATAGCAAATATGGCTTGAATCAAATCTAACAGTGTTATCTCTGCGCCAGCCCTCAGAGCCACTGGAACTGGTTTCGGAGAGTTTTCTACGCTTCTGAAGGAGCATTTAGACATAACGGTGGTCTGTAGTGGGAATGTGGGATCTCCCCCTCCCAGTTTCCCCTGAATTCTGCAGTTTTTTCAGCAGTAGTCCAGTGTTGGATCCTGCCCTGTGTAACTGTAATTCATGGCATAGATCAGCAGCTGGTGCTGTTGACATCTTTGCATTCAGTTCTTCCTCCAGTGGTTTACCTTTGGTCTTTGCCATGCTAAGGATGTGAGGATTGTTTCTTCCATACTTGTTTGATTTCTGCTTTTGTGATGTGCTCATTTCGTAGCCCTCTAGCTTTCTGAATTATTCCACACATTATAAAATAAGATCAGTTACTCATTATATTGTTCTTAGGAAGTTAATAGCAAGATAAGGTATGAACTCTTGCCATGTACTCTTATCGTAGGCTTTAACAACAATATTCTCCCTCATTCTTTTCGTACATGTTCTTGCTGCTCATAACTAATGGGCGGAAAGGGAAGTTTTGCATCTAGAGGCTGTACTGTGCTTTCTGTAAATTTGTCCAGTGCCACCTTGATGTTGTGCATGGGACTTGCCAACCTGGACCAGTCTGTGCCAAAATCACGTTTTTCTACGTACGCCTCTTCACTTATGAAAGAAGACTTTGTCCAGAAGATGCAATGAAAGGATCTCTGTGTGAGATGCTATACATGTAGACTACCTATAACAAATCTATCTGCCTGTCATTTCTAGATTCATTGAATTATCTAGTGGAACCCTTCTTGATTCCTGACTCCAAATACACTCATAGTAGAAATTGAAAAGCCAGTGAGCTGATTTTTAAATGTTTCCATTGTATTCCATCTATACTTGCACATGTAACTGAAAGCATCCTTGTGGGCAACTGACTGAAAAGATATATTTTGATTTGAACAAGGGATAAAAAGCCAGTATTGATTGGCTTTACCCATAGATTTGCTTCCGTGCCTGCAAAAGCAGTGGAAGCAATGTGAATAGCAACTGAGGTTTTGGCATAGTGTTTCACGTCCACATTTTAGCTTTGTATTCTTATGTGTCCGTGTTGTGGCTTTCTCATAGAAATCAGCTTCTGAAGTGGAGAATGGCAAATAAAGTACCAGGCTGTTGGGAGTGTTTGGGGGAAGGGATGAAATCTTTAAAATCTGTGATAGAGCTTTAAAATTTTGTTGCTATTCATATTTTTGAGTCTTGGTGAGTGTTAAGAGGAACATACCATCAATTCAAAATGCGTGGTTTTATTAATTTTAAGAAGCTGCAAACGGATACTTTGCACCATAGTATACATTCAGTGTATAGTAATGTTTTAAAGGATTTTTTCCCTTATGTCTTTTTTTCTGGAGCTGACAAGCTTTCTTGTGTCTGAATAAAGAAACCTGAGTATGTATAAATAATTAAGACTTCCATAAAACATTGAAATAAGAGTCTGTAGTCTTTAAAAATCATTTTATGTGAACAGGGACTTTCTTGCCTAATTAAAATAATCATTTGTGAAAGCAGGAAACTATTTTCTTTCTTTTTCTAATGCAGTTTTAAAATCCCTTAGTTTAAATTTTATAAAAAGCAGATTACAAGACAATGAGAAATAAATGTAGCATTATATTGTCCTGCAGTGAGTTCACACAATACATTTGTTGTATTTAAGTGGCCAACAGGTTTAGCTTGGTATAAATTATCTTTTTATAATTACAGCTTAGTCAGTGGGAAAAGTAATTAACATAACCTTTAGGATATTTAATTTTCTCAAACTGGCAAGCAATCCTTGCACTTGACCTCTAGGGTCTGAGAAAGATTTAATCAGCAAAAACAGAGCTCCTTTTAATGTTAAAAAAAGGTTTGGTGCAGTGCTAGCTGTGCAGTAGTTGACGTGGCTAAATGTAGGGAGGAAACCTATTCCTAACTTTCATAAAATTTTCTGGCGGTATGGTTTTAAAGTTATTATTTTCCTCAGTGGAGACAGCATGCAGTAAGAAAGCATATACTGTACGAACAGTGCAGTGCAAGAACTTGCTTTGTCAGAGTTCATCTCGTACTTGGTAATAAAAAAAGGCAGATTGACTCATCAAAATTAATGAAAACATAAAACACAAATAGTAAAGTAAAATGGAATTTACAGCAAATATTAAACCATAGTATATCAACAGCATCTTTAAAACAAAGACCCCCTCCTTCCAAAAAATTGAGGCGAAAACCCTTCCTCTGTCCTAAAAGCAAAACAGATCCCCAGGAAATACAGACTGCAACAGAAGTGTCTGTTTCCAAAAGCTGGACAGTCACCCAAAGGCAAAATCACCTGGAAGCAGCAGCTCCAGGCAGGGTTGTGCATAGCTCATCTAAAAGAACACGCCCGTCAAGAATACTGTACTTCTCCTGGCAGTCTTTGTGCTTTGCAGCAAATATATGCTGTTTGAGAAAATATTGACTGCCTAGTCTGTTTACGTGTAGCTAAGTAAACGTTTGCATTACACTTCATTATATCTTGGGAAGCACACTCTTCCTTGAATGAAATGCTGTTGCGCAGCTATACAGGCAGAAAGCAAATGTCATAATGTTCACCTGTTTCCCGCTGATGAAGAGTTGCAAGTTGCTATGGGCTGTATTTGGGAATTGCAGCAGGGACTCATTAATTTCTGGCTGGAAGAAAGTGGATGTTATGTCATTTGCCTTCTGCCCATGCTAGAAAGGAAAAAGATTTCAACCAGTCATGAGACTTTTAGTCTGGACAGAGAAGGAAAACAAGCAATTGAAAATGTCATCATGGATTAGTGGAGAAAAGGCAGTGAAAAGTTACCCAAGGAAATTGAAGCATGTGTTCACTTATTTTTCTGAATTCTTCAAAGTTCAATCAAAATTAAACACACACCCTTTCTTATGCATCACTTGCATGTAAATCTCTTCTTACTGCATGTTTAATCGTGTCATTTCAAAAACTGAATTCAAATGTATAATAACGTTTAGGTGAGTCAAATAATGATTTCTCATTACTTGGTGGTTGCTATCAAGAATGTTCTACTTAATGGACCATCCTGCTCTTGTCTTTTTATGTCATTTCTTTTTAATGTCTTGTGTATGCTACTGTCTGAAACTGAATTTTAACTGTTGCTTATTTTGTATTTTTTTTAAAGGTAATGGCTGATTCTAGTAAGACCCTAATATGAGAAGCCGTAATATCTGATGAGGTGCAAACTTCAAATGTATCATCTTTGACCTTGAATTATGATCCACTCACCATATATGGAAAACGTGCTAGTAATATCAGGGTAGAAATTAATAGTAATTTCTTAATCTCATCTTAAACCAAAACTATGTTTCAACCAAAACGAAAAAGAGCAACACGTGATGAATGAAGGTTGTGGTTTCCAAGTAACTGATCTGTGAAGTAAACCTCATGAATTTCAACCACAGAGATCCAGAGAGCGTCACTGGTAAGTTGAAAAACCAGTTATGAGGTGCTAGTTGTAGCTTTGGCAAACCTTTAGTATAATACAGTGGTTCCCAACCTTGGACCCCAGATGTTATCAGACTACAATTCCCAGAAGCCTTCACTAGCTGTGCTACCATGTTTCCCCCCAAATAAGACAGGGTCTTATATTAATTTTTGCTTCGAAGAACACATTAAGGCTTATTTTCTGGGGATGCTTTATTTTTTCATGTACAGCAATCTACATTTATTCAAATACAGCCATGTCATCTTCTTCTGGTTGCTGCACAATGGTGGAGGGCGGGGTTTCACTTAACTAGGTCTTATTTTGGGGGTAGGGCTTATATTACCAGCATTCTGAAAATCATACTAGGGCTTATTTTCAGGTTAGGTCTTATTTTCCAAGAAACAGGGTAGGAGTATTTCTGGGGATTGCGATCTGATAACATCTGGGGACCCAAGGTTGGGGGGGGGAACCACTGGTATAGTACAAACAAAACTTCAAGGCTACAGTCTTCCATAGTTTTTAAAAAAGATTTTAGATTAATTTCTCATAGAGCCTTAAAGTGAGACCTCCTATAGATACCAGAGTATTCCAAGCATCCTCAATGAAATATAAACTGAAAGAAGAATATGTGCACAACTGACTGGAGAGGCCATACTAAAATCAGTGCAGAAGAGGAGTTTCTTGCAAATAGGGATTGTGTGTGAGGCACCATCCCTCTGCTCCAATCTATGTGTATGAAGTTGGGGATCAGAAAAATGTGCTTACTTTTAGAAGCTCATTTCATATTTTGAAACTGTTAGGATAGTTTGAGTTGAAAAGTGGGATAAATATTTATTTAGCCTGGGCCAAGATGCAGACCAGGTATTATAAATGTTCAGATATAGTTGCTGTTCTTTTAGGACATGTTTGAAAGATTGATGATGCAAAGAAATGTGTTTCTTAGTTTACAACAGCGGTTGAATCCCCCAGTGTTCTTGGGCTACAACTCTCAGAAATCCTGGCCAGCACAGCTAGTGGTAAAGACTTCTGGGTATTAGGGATGTGGTAGTGCTGTGGGCTAAACCACAGAAGCCTCTGTGCTGCAGGGTCAGAAGACCAAGCAGTCGTAAGATTGAATCCATGCGACGGAGTGAACTCCCGTCGCTTTGTCCCAGCTCCTCGCCAGCCTAGCCATTCGAAAGCATGCAAATGCAAGTAGATAAATAGGGACCACCTCGGTGGGAAGGTAAAATGGCGTTACCTGGTCATGCTGGCCACATGACAACGGAAACTGTCTTCGGACAAGCGCTGGCTCTACAGCTTGAAAACGGGATGAGCACTGCCTCCTAGAGTTGGACACGACTGGACTAAAAATGTCAATGTCAAGGGGAACCTATTTTAATCCAAGAATGTCTGAGGAGCCAAGGTTGGGAACCACTAGATAACATCAACATTTAATGTAGATGTCACAACTTTTCTCTAACTAAATAGTTCCTCTACTCTTATCTACAGCTATGATTTAAAAAATCATGCATAGAAGCATTCTGACATTTTATTTTTATAATAATCCATTTTACTTGATATTCTATCATTAGAATATAACTACACAGAGAGCAACTTGAATAGTTTATTCCCAATAGGACAGCTAGGAGTAAATCCATTTTTAGTTCCAGTTAGAAAAGAATTAACTGACTCAGTAGGCGTACTAAGAGTTGATGTAACAAATCCCATTTATTCAGAGTGTATGCTCTAGTTGCAATTAACAGCTGAATTTAGTCCTTTATTTCCTATTGTTCAGGTTTAATATTGTGCTATATCTCACCAAGCTTGATTTAAATCTGTATAAATAGCCTTCCATGATTGATTGTATTGCCAAAGCTGATCAAATTCCACTATTTGGCTGAGGGAATCAATGGTTCTTTCAGCATTCATGTGCAGGTAGATTTATATCACAGTGCCTTCATTTATCTTCAGATGTTTGTCATAATGAAGACCTCCCTGAAATAGAGCTGGTGAGCATGCTAGAAGAACAACTGCCTCAATACAAGTTACGTGTCGATTCCTTATATTTGTCTGAAAATGACGATTGGATCCAGTCCCCAGGTTACCACAGCCATGTCTCTGAAAACCCTTCTCCGGACCACGCTGAGAATACCTTCCATTACATGAGTAAGTGTTTTTTTTTCCTGACAGCTAAGGACTCTGTCTCTCCCACCTCACCACAATTTGTATAAAGCAACAGACTTCATACCATTCAGTTATTAAACAGATGGCTGTTACCCTGAGAACCGGAACGTCAACTAAAAGATGTGATGTTGGCGATTTGGTATCAGCTTACAAGGAGCATAAAACTCCTTTTTTGTTTGAGGAACCTTTGGTGTAAAATGCAAGAGGTGAAGCCTTTTGTGCCATGCTTGTAAAAATAAACTGCTAAAGAATTTTTGTAGCAGGAGGGTTGGAGCAGCTTTGAATGTAAGCAGTGAAATAGCATGGCATGTGGGAAAACAGGCTGTGGTTTATGCTTGACAGATTGCTCTTGAGTTACTTGGAAGACGCATAGAACAAACAAAGCCATATAATCTTTCATGCAGCCATAGTCTACAAGCACCATAAGAATGCAGGTGCTGGTTAAATATTAGCTTATATAATTTTGTTGTTCTCCTTTTTCTTTTGAGCATTGACCCTTGCACTGTAAAATTATGGGCAAATGAATTGTCAATTTTGTGTTGTGGCTATGTTTAGGTGTTTTCCTAGAACTGATTTTTGAAAGTTTGGATACCAGTCTTGAAAATATTGAGTATTTTTGATGGAACCACAAAGGTTATTTAGCGTCCTGACCCACCCACCTGCAGAAAAGATGCATACCGTCTGCTGTTATTGAGAAGGCTTTTGCTGGTTTTTCAGACCAAAAAAAAGTGGATGCAAACAGATGCTTCCTCATTATTGGGATATTGTGTGATGAATTATGTATCAGAATCAAACTGTGTTTGTCCATGTATATCTATCTGAACTGATCACATACAATGCTCAAATGTACACTTGTTTTATATGTTTAAAATAGTGGTAGTAAAAACAGTTCTTTTGTATAGTGCTAGCTGCTCTGGCTTTCCTAATTAGGTGATTTAAAGGGGGATGCCTAACCCGTAGCTAATTCTGCAGTACTGTATACAGTTTCATAATAAGTCATTAGGAATTTGTTTGATTTCAAGATAGAAAGATCACCTTCAGCTTGCAAATCTTAACTACCGTATTTTTCCTTGTATAAAATGATACTTTTCCTCTTCAGAGAGGAACAATTAGAGGAAAAGTTGAGGGTCGTTTTATACACAGAAGAAGGCAGTCGTAGGTGCGCTTGGGTGCCTCTTGCTGCCGCCGCTGCCCAATTTAGATCTCAGGCTTGTCCCCTCCAGCTTGTCCCCTCCGGTGGCCAAGGCAGCAGGAGGAGGCAGAGACGGAGGTGAAGGAGCATTCACACACACTCAGTTAGGCGCCTCTTGCTGCTGCCTCCCCCACCCGCCCGATCACCACCTGCAGTGGGACTGACAGGCTCAGCTCACGTCGCCACCTTGTCCCCTCCAGCAGGAGGTTGAGGCAAACAAGCACTCACACGCACTCGGGCGCCTCTTCCTGCTGCCCCCACCAGATCACCTCCTCCAGCCTTCGCCTCCTAGGGCAGGGGACAAGGCCCCGACCTGAGCTGGAGGTGAGCCCTGGCCGTCACACTGGAGGAGGTGATCGGAGGAGGCAGCGGCAGCAGCAGAAGATGGAGGTGGAGGAGCAGGTGCCCATTAACTGCTCCTCCGCCTCCATCAAGGGTCAAAATTAGGGGATCGTTTTATACATTGGGGGGGTTGTATACAAGGAAAAATATGGTAGTTTTGTACTATGAAATGGACTGTCTTTTCTTTGTCCTGAGTCGTCCTCAGTTTTCTGAATATTTGTTAATTATCAGTATCTTAAATGAATACTGCATCCAGTCAGATTTAGCCAAAGGCCCACCTGAATGCATTATTTCTGCAGCATAACCCCTTGCTCTCATTTTTGAGATGATTAAGATTCAAGCAATGACATTTTGAACCATTTTTCCTCTTGCTACTTCATAGCAAAAAAAAAAAAAAAAATTAAGCATGTTTGTAATACAAAAAATTGAGTTCTCCAAGATCCAGGGCATAAAAATGCAACATACCTGATTATAGCAAAAGATCAAATACCTTGCAAAAAAGAACTAGGGACACATAACTTTTTTTCCTTTGCTGTTCTCTTCCCATGTCCAAAACATAAGTTTTTTTTCCTTCTGGACAACATTTGTGCATTAATATGCAGCTGTGTAACAAGAAATAAGGAAACAGTTTTCTTGGGTTTAAAATATACAGATACATCCATTTTGCCCTGGGTTTCAATTTGCGATTTTATAATCCACAATGCAGCCGCTCAGAACAATGTGTGTCGTGCATCTATGGTCATACGGTAGTACAATAGTGCAGTATAGCTCCTCCTGTTTTCTGACGTTGAGGAATGTTTGTTTGCTAGACAACTGAGTATATACTAGAGAGTGCTTGTGCTGCAGCATTGCCTGCTGCAGAACTCAATAAGTCCTGATCAAACACTGCTACACCTTGGGCATACTTCTTCTGAACTCCTTGTATGTCAGCTGCCACTCAGACATGGCACTAGATAACAGAGAGATGAATCAAAATGAAGAGCTGCTTATGACTTTCACTCTACAAGGTATGTGGGGGCATATCAGTCAGGATACATATGTTGTACGTTGATGATCATGGATCTTTAAGAAATGTAGGAGAGGAAATAGTAACTGAAATCTTCTCTAGAGTTATAAGTAGTGGTTGTAGTTTTATTCCTCCTGATCTTTCTCGGTAGATTATTGAGCTATAGATCAGGAAATTTCTAGTTCAAATCCAATTATTTTCATGAACTCATTAAGGGTTCGGGGTTCTGGAATGCAAGGAGCCCTTCTTAGAGCAGAATAAAAAATGGTGGTCAAGTCTACATAGTTAAAGCATGTATATTTTGCCTAGAAGCCAGAAAGTTACTCAGGAGACTTGTTCGTCACAGAAGGTGGGGTGGGATTTTGAACTTGTCTCACGTGGACCATTGATATTCATGACATGTCTTGTAATGCTTTTGAAAAATAGGGATAATATTCCAGATCTAACATGAGGTTGTTGTGAGAATTGCATGAAGGTAATGCATACAAGGTGCTTTGAAAACTTTAGATAAATGCTAAGTGCTAAATAATCCCACTGGCCGAGAGTTCATACCACCAAGCAAAGTGACACCTTGGTATTGCCTCTCCTTTTAATATCTGGATGCTGTCCTCCCTGAAGAGGCTTTTGTTCCTTCACTGCAACTTTTAAGGAGAGTGAATTGTTTGGTTTCCTCTTTCTCTCCTCAAATAAACTGCAAGTCACCAAGATATAAGCAAATCCATAGAGAACTTTTGTAGCCAGTTTATTTATTATTCTCTGTGGTCTATAAGGCGTTGCTGCACAGTAGCTCAAATTATGCTCTAGCTACCTTGCAGTCCTTGCATAAGACCATGTCTTTTTCCATGTAAAGAAGACCAGCTCCTCCTACCTGCTCGTTATAAATGGAGAGGAGTGGAATAAATGTCCCTGCCCCTTCTTTTCTCTGTGCAGCTGAACAATAAAGCACAATTTCCTACCATTTCCTTTTTTGGACTGTCATAGGCACATTACTGAACAAAGGATTGTCTTAAACATTCAAAACAGCAAGAAAAATCATGGCAAAAGCAGAAATTCAGCTTTTGCAACTCTTGTGCTTAAACATTTCCATCTGATTTTCTAATTCAGAATTTTTTGGAAGGGTAATCCGAGGCCATGATTCAATAGTGCTAATAATGCCTACAGAATCAAACAGTCTCAGGAATTCTACATTATCTTCTGTGAAAAGCATCAGTTGCTGGACAACGTGGCTGTAGAGCAGTGGTTCTTAACCTTGCAACTCCCAGAAGCCTTCACCACCAGCTGTGCTGGCTGGGGTTTCTGGGAGTTGAAGTTCAAAAACACCTGAGTAACCCAAGGTTAAGAACCACTGCTGTAGAGGATCATGCAGGGGTCCTCTTGAGCAGGTATGTGCAAGGACTTTCTACATCCTAACATATAATTGCCATGCTCAAGTTGATTGGATCATTTGTTATATGCTCACATTCTGTTGTGGAAGGACTAAGGCCAAGGTACTGAAAGCCATTCCTCTGACATAGCACCCCTTTGCAGGTAAGGGCCATCTTCTCCTCTTGTAGGCAAATTGTCCTTTCTAGATCAGGGCTAAAGTGTTTGACCAGGCTGATAGGGAAATCCTTAGACATGCAAGGCTGTGGTAGTTGAACCACCGACCCCACTTCTACATTTCATGACCATTGATTATTTCTTCTCTTCTGCTTTTTACTCTTGTTCTTCTGTACTAGCTCTTCCCCCTTCCTCCTTGGTTGGACCACACAAACACGCACAAGGTAATTCAGATGCCTTCCGTTCTCAACCTCATGGCAAGAAATAGTGGCAGCTGCTAGTTGATTTTTATCATAACTGCTAACCCTTGCTGGATTGTCATGCTTTCCTAGTAAACTTACCTAACTGCTGGGTTCCATAAAAATGCCTGGAAACCAATGCCTGACACCCCACCCCACCCCCCTCCTCTCCATTTCGTCTTGCTCTCTGCTGCTGTCAAGCATTGCACTTTCATGATTTCCACATATGTTTTTAGAAATGTGGGGGGGAAACTTACTTGATATATGACATTTTAGCTACTTTTTAGTCCATCTGATGATTCTCACTATTTTTGTCTAAGTTTAAGGACTGTATGTTGTTCTGCACAAACCACACTAAGAAGTTGTTTTGGTTTTCAGTTCTTGGCACTGACAAACGAGAGCAAGTAACAAAAAACTGCAATGATACTGAAATAGTGACACATCTGTTGGCTGAGGTACAACTCTTTGCACTTACTTAATTCAGTTTTCATTCTTGAGTTGCTACATTTTTTGTTCCTTATTGTATTTTATGCTGCTTTTGCTCTTAGAGGTTTATATTTTATTCTGCACCTCAGTGGTCCAATTTATGCTTATTGCATGCTGCCCAGTGAACTTTGTTACGTAGCAACACACAAATGCTATAAATTAATAAATGTCCTGTTATAGTTGTAGTACAGTGAACTACATGATCTCCTTTGATGTTATAGCAAGGATGGATTCTGTGCTACCACTAATTAATAAACTCACTGAAATTCTGTGCTGTCTAACTAAATTGGGAAGGACAAGAACAGATCCATTGCTAAGAGATTTATGGAGGGGAAAATACATCTGTTTGTTTTCTTGGATAGCTCAGCTGCTTTTAGTATGGTTATCTACAATATCCTTTTGGACCCACTTGCCAGAGCCAGTGTTATGGCAGCTGTGGCTCTTTCTTGGAGGGACAAGTCCAGTGTGGAGAACGGTGGAAATACTATGCCACAACAGGACTGTTGGCTTTGAGGTTCCTGGCTCTCCCCCATGCTTTATAATACAAATCTGAAACCTGTTGGAGAAGTCATCCAGAAGTTTCGACCGACATGTTACCAGTTTGCAAAGGCATATAACGCTTGTCTCTTCTTTCCATCTACTTAACAACTGGAAATTTTAAATGGGTGTTTGGAGGCAATTCTGGGATAAATGAGGACAAACTACCAAGCTTAATCCAGATGAGACAGATGTTCTCATAATTTAGAAGACTGCTAATCAGTATGTAGGTTTGCAGTTGGGTTTGGCCATGGTTATGCTTCCTGTAAGGAATCAGGAATGAAATTTTAGTGTATTCCTGGACCCACTGTTATATTTGGAGGTGCAGGTATAATTATTTGCTTAGAGTGCCTTTTAAGAGTGAGTAAACCAACTTTACCTAGATAAAGCAACTCTGGGTGTTTTTCTATAATGTACTGTATTTTTCGCTCCATAAGACGCACCTCTCCATAAGACTCACCACATTTTTAGGAGAAGAAAACAGGAAAAAATGATCTGTTTTCTTCTCCTAAAAATTTGGTGAGCCTTATGGAGAGGTCCGTCTTATGGAACACACCCTAGGACCCTTTGGAGGCTCACCCAACCCTCCCAGGGGCCAAAGGGGGCGAAATCGCCACCTTCTGGGACTCTTCTGAAGCTTCCCAAGCCTCAAAAGAGTCCCAGAAGGTGGCAATTTCACCCCCGCTGGCCCTGTAACATCTCACTCCAGGTTGAGAAACTTTGCACTATATGAACTGTTTGCAGTGTGTTGTAGATGAAGGGTATGCATTTAATGTTTTAAATTAGGATTGGAATCGATTCTTCAGTGTCAGAAATATCCTCCTTTTTTGATGTTTCTGTATAGAGGGATCGGGACCTAGAATTAGCAGCACGAATTGGACAGGCCTTACTTAAACGGAACCACATCCTAACAGAGCAAAATGAAGCTCTCGAAGAACAACTGGCCCAAGCTTTTGACAAGGTGAGTGAGCAGAATTAAACTTAAAGCATTTTAAGTGATAAGAAGTGTCTGGTTTATGGTATAAGCAGAGATTATTGCACTCTATAAACCACCAGAGGTGTTTACATTTTAAACATGACCTGGTAAAAAAGTAAAACCAGGCTGCAAAAAGTATGAAAGAAGTTACTGCATTTTGTGGGCACTAGATAATTGTGCATTAGAGCTCCCTATTTACAGTCGGAAGAGCAGTGTGCCAATTTTCTCAATACCACTGTGTAACAGGACCATACAGAACTTAATGAAAAAAGGAATGTGTTATCTGCACTATCTTGCAAGAAGCTGTTCCAGTGAGCAGTTCCATATAGGAAGTTCAAGAAGAGTAAGGAAGCAGACAAGCAGTAGGCTTCGTCCTTCTGATCTAGGAAGAGAAGATTGTGGTTCCACAGGGAGTGCTAGAAAGAAGAATCTCTGAGGACTCCCTCATACAAGAGAGAGAGAGAGAGCAGGTGCAAAGGAGCGGGCACGTGCAAGCATGAAGGGCATGGGGGTGCTCGGGGGACACTCATGCACACTTGCGAAGGGGTGGGGGTACTTGCACACGTGCATTTGCACACGTGCAAAATGGCTGTGCTGAGGGCAGGAGTGCGTGCAGGGTGGGTGGGAGATCTGGTGGCTGTGCTGAGGGCAGGAGTGCGAGCAGGGTGGGTGGGAGATCTGTCTCTGGGCCAGGGCCACAGACCGGCCGCAGACCAGGGATTGGGGACCCCTGTTGTAGAGGATATGTTCCAATCCTAATATAGACGTGTGCTATATAAGATTTTCTTCCTTCTAGTCTTACTGCCATTGACTTTTAAAGCTAAAGAAATAGGGAGCTAACTAAACCCCAGGTAGAATAGCTGTATTTCCACAACTCTATATTGAGGAAGCTGTTTGTCTCAGAGAAGGGGTAAAAAGGAGTCTCATAAAAGTGGAACATGAGGCAGGTGCTTTCCATTAGTATTTCCAAAGCTATGTGGAACAGTTGTAAAAGTCAACAGATGGTAGAAAAAAATTATGATACTTGTGTTGAAACCTTTGGTTTCATTAAGAGTTAGTTGTATGTTTTAGTATCATGCCTTCAGAAATGCTGTAATCATGGGCTTGCGAAAGAGAGAGGTGTGAGCTGTCAGTAAACAAAAAAGGGACATCCACACAGAGATGCAGACTTGAGGAGGTGCTGATGATGCTAGTGGTACTATTTTATTACTTTTGTTTGTCCAGTGACCTGCTAGAAATGGCAACAGTGCTGTACAGCAACACTGATGGTGTTTAGTAAACAAATGCTCTTTGAAATCAGGTTCACCAGCTGCAGCACGAGTTGACAAAAAAAGATGAGTTGCTTCGAGTGGTGTCTATTGCATCTGAAGAAAGTGAGACGGACTCAAGCTGTTCCACACCACTTCGCTTCAATGAGTCCTTCAGCCTGTCACAGGGAATCCTGCAGTTGGAGATATTGCAGGATAAACTCAGGGAACTGGAAGAGGAGAACCTTTCTCTTCGTACGAAGGTAGCCAACTTTCATCCTGTCTGCCAAGCATTAAGTGGAATTGTGAAAGACAATTAACTAAAGGAAGGATCTAGCAATGAAACTAAGGTCAAGCTTGTGGGGTCCTCAGTATTAAAATTGCCTCTTCTGTTTGATCATGTATATCCCTGTTTCTTGCTAGAAATCGTTGTTAGGTACACACTCAATTTGCTTATCTTTCATATCATCTTCATTACAAAGTAGGTTATTTCTGTCAACCCCGGACTGATTTTTTTAAAACTTTATGTCTAAAAGACTCATGGGGAAAAATCTGAATTTTTAAAAAATTGTATTTGCGAAGGCTTTCATGGCCGGGATCTAATGGTTGTGGGTTTTTCGGGCTTTTTGGCCATGTTCTGAAGGTTGTTCTTCCTAACGTTTCACCAGTCTCTGTGGCCGGAATCTTCAGAGGACAGCACTCTGTCCTCTGCACCACAGAGTGCTGTCCTCTGAAGATGCCAGCCACAGAGACTGGCAAAACGTTAGGAAGAACAACCTTCAGAACATGGACAAAGAGCCCGAAAAACCCACAACAACTATTTTTAAAAACTGTCTTTTTGGTCACGTAATTATCCATTACAGTGGTGCCCTGCATAGTGACAATCCATTCAAAAAAAAATCATCGCTATCCGGATTCATTGCTATGCGGGGCAAAAAAAACCCCATAGGAACGCATTAAAACATGTTTAATGCGTTCCTATGGGCTGTAAACTCACCGGTGTGCGGAAATCCTCCATGCGGCTGCCATTTTCACTGCCTGGTAAGCGAGTAAAGGGTGTGAAAATGCTGCGGGCGGCCATTTTTTCCTGGCGGCCATTTTGGAACTGCCGATCAGCTGTTCCCAAAACATCGCTATGCGAAAATCGGTAAGCGAAACACCGATCATCGCAAAACGATTTTTAGCCATTGAGAACATTGCAATGCGATCGCTTTTGCGATCGCAAAAACACATCGCTATGCGGATTCATCATTAACCGAGGCGCTCGCTATGCGGGGCACCACTGTACATCTCTTGTCAAATTCTGGCTTTTAAAAATGGATGTCAGATGAAAGAAACAGGCGCTAGATAGATGAGGTGCAATTAAAAGTGAGCCCTTTAGATCCTTCTAACTTTTTCCTCTAGTGAACCCTCCTTCAGAAAAGACAGTGCAACATAGTTATGTGATCTCTTGCCTGTATGTCATGGCCAGAGAGTATTTAAGAAATTGAGCCAAGCCATGCACTGCAGGCTGAGGCAAAAACTATCTAGAAGCTCTGATTTGAGGTGTAGGTGGTCATGAATGCATTGAAGTGAAACAATCAACTTTATTCACCTTGGCTAGTTATACACCTTCGTTATCCAACATTTCTACAGCTAACTAGAATGCTGGGTAGAAATAGTGTTTTATCTTTATATGTATATTTCCTGTGGAATCTAATGCAATCTGATTACTGTTGCAGTAGGTTGGAATTGTGAATACTGTTTGTGATAGCAATTTTTTTTTTATTAACAGACATGATTAACTGATTAGGATATTAGACATACTGTATTTGTGTGGTGTTACCTGGTTGTTCACCGTGCTAAAATGAATCCTTCTTAGTGTTCCAGTGAAACATGCAATCATGGGCTGAAATCCGGTAGCACTTTGCAACTAAAGTTGGCCCTTTGAGTCAATGGCACTCCCATCAATATTGACTTACTAAATTCCCACTGATTCATTGGACCTAATCTTGTTATAACTTATTACTGGATTTCAACAATAAGTTGTTATAGTTATCCCTATAAACCAAATGAATGGGCTAAAGGTTTTGGCTGTCACCACTACTAAAGATGCGGAAGTGGTAGCCCTTGTAGTCTGTGCATGCACTATAGGTAAAAACAAAAAAAAGTTTTTTAAAAAAAGAGAAAAATAAAATAACAAATAAAAAGACAAGCCTACTAGAACCTTAAAGACTAGCTTTATATTTTAAAAAATATATTTAAAAAAAATATAAATATATAAAGCTAGTCTTTAAGATGCCACCATGTTTTTTCTTATTTATTCTTTTCTTTTCTCTTTTTTTTTACTTTTTTATTTTTACCTTCACTGCTAAAGATATAGATTGCTTATTTTTCAAATGAATGTTGGGCATTTTATCACACAGAAGAAAAGTAGAGTTTACACCATAAATGTTAAAAATTTGGATAGTGCTTTGTAGTGATCTGTTTTTATAGGTTTATTATACTGTAAAATGTGGCTTAGACTTAAACCTTTTTATTTTGAGTCAGGACATTTTGAGTCATGCCGTGGGCATTGTTGATAATTTGCTTTACATTAATCTCATTAAGCTGTTCAAAAATTGGGGATCTTTTACTGCATTTCTAAAGTACCCTTACTCAGAAGTATGTTCGATTTTGTAAAACTAGGTTGAAGGTGCATAAGCCTGCAGGGTTAGTTGCAGGGTGATATGGAAGGTTTTTATTTTTATTATTGTACAAACCAAGTACTTCATGTCTCATGAAAATGCTGTCCAGGTGATCTGTAGACTTTGCTATTTAAATCAAGTGTGTATGACAGAAAATTGTGGGGGTAGGAGCCCAAATTGTTGTATCCTGTCCTCTCCTGTGTGTGGTTAATTTGAGGAAGCTTCCTGCTTTTGAACCCCCATCGAAAGCTCTCCCACGTGGAATAAACTGGCCTTGCGTAAAGGCTGTGTGTGTGTGTGTGGTTAGGCAAAATAGCATACAATAGTCCACGGTTGTGAAAGCTTTTGCCTTTTGAACTCCTAATTAATATTGGTGGTTTCATTTGTTTTCAAGCTAGCGAATTCCTCTTGACCTTTTTTGTACCAAGCTAACATATTTCCATTTAACTGTCAATTGTATATTGGTTACTGCAGTGTGGTTGGTTAATTTTGGAATGAATAGAATGGGCTTTCTTTCTTGAAACCATAGATCATCAGATCATAACAGGAAAAATGCAAAACATATATAACACTGACATTACTTATTTACATGTAAATGTAAAATGACATAGCTTCATCCCTTCCTTAAGTCTTTTGATGCCTTGCATGTATCTTTGTAAATCTTCCATCTGCACATGGATTCACCTGAGTAATGTCCTCTGGTATGGAGGAAATGGTTTAAGTGGTAACAGATCACACAATTAATTGCCAGATTTGCAAAAGCTTGTGCTGTAGTTATGCTGAACTTGGGTCTGTGCAGAGGCTAGAGAGTTTATCTACACACAGGATCTACTTCAAAAACTGATGAAGATTGTTGTTCTTAAAGGCATGCCATTTGAAGACAGAAACCATGACGTACGAAGAGAAAGAGCAACAACTGGTCAGTGACTGTGTCAAAGAGATCAGTGAGTATCCAGGTAGTATCTTCTACTGGGATTACATAGAATGCTTTTTTTTAATCTTGGAAATACAATCAGGAATACATACTCATATCAGTGCTCCATACATGCAATAGATTTATCGAGCTCTTTGAAAGCTTTAAGCTTCAGATATTAGTAGGAACCAACCCAGATGCTGAACACTAGCCCTCCTACCCTCCCCCATACAATTTCCTCTGTCTTTCTTTAGACTTAAAATCTTCACTATCTTCAATCAAAGTACATGCCAGGCAGAGTTTACTGTTAAGTGAGCTATTAAGACTTCTCTGAGCACTGAGAGAATCCTGGCTAATGTTGTGGTCCAAACAAATAAACAACATGCACGCACGCATGCGCGCACACACACACACCTCTGTAGGATGTAGCCACTGGAATGCAACTTTTTGATGTTTCAGTTGCTTTTTTGTTGCATGGAATTTTTTAAAATGTAATTTTATTCAAGTTGTGTTTATTCTGTGACAAACTTCAAAGTTGTTTTTAAGTATTATTTTTATTTGCTTTCTGTCCTGCCTTTCTCTCAGTAGAAGGTTCCAGGACAGCTTACAAATGACTTGAGAAGGAGATGCAGCTATAATCACAATAAACTGAAATTAAATATGATCAAACATATAGTACTAACAAAAAGCAACTTGTTTGAAACCAATTAAAAAGACATCCTAGATCTGTAAAGAGTATTGCACTGCCTACTAAAACTCCTTTCTCATCCAGTCCTCAAAAGCTTCCTTGAAAAGAAAACTTTATTATGCCTTTTGGCAAAAGGACAGAAGGGAGATGGAGTCCCATAGCCTGGGAGCTGCCACCAAAGTTTTAGTCTCTCATGTCCTCCATAGAGGAGCAAGTCAGGGACGGATAGCCTCCCCTGTAGATCTCAAAATCTGAGATAAGTTATGCAGAAAATACACCCTTCAGATAACTGGAGGGTGTTTTATAGGTCATAACCAGCTGTTTGAACTGGGCCTGGAAATAGACCATTAGCCCATGAAGCTGTTATAACAAGGGAGTGATATGATCCCTCTGACCAGCCCTGCTTAGCAGTCGGCAGTGTTTTGAACCAGCTTGACATTTCCAAACAGCCCTCAAAGGCAATCCCTACAGAGTGCCTTGCAGTAATGCAAGTGAGATACTGTATAACTAAAATATGTTTCACTTTATTGCAGCAATATCAGGCAGTTGTACAGGTGCACTCTTGGCAACTGCTGAGAGCTGAGGAATCAGGCTCAGGGATGAGTCCATCAATGCACGCCAACTATGGCCCTGAGTTTTCAAGGGAAATGTCATCCCATCCAATATAGATTCCCTGACCTGCCTTTCTTCTGATAGGGATCATCTCGGTCTTGTCCAAATTCGCCTTCAGTTTCTTCACTCTCATCCAGTCCATCGCTAACAGTAGGCATTGGTTTAAGAATGAACACCACTTCCTTGGAGGTGTATGGAAAAACAGATTAGGTGTCATCAGCATACTAGTAGCGATAAACCTCGGACTGTCAGCAACATCTCTCAGCTGTTTGCTTGGTGTGTTAGACCTGGGAGACAACAGCACGAAAATCCAGGTATTAAGCAGGAATCATGCAGTGCCCCTTCTGAGTTTACCTATCCGGGAAAAGACCAGAGTCACTGCAAGGCGGAGTGCCTCTTAAGTCCCATCCCAGAGAGATGACCTGAAAGGGTATTGTGGTTGCAGAGGCCACAGTTGCACCCACAGCCTCTGAGCCAAAGCAGATCGGAGTGGATTCATCTGCCAGGTGACATGCAGATTCTTCACAGCCGACTGTGGTGCTGGGTAGCTACTTTCTTAATTAAACGTATGTCTTGTGGTATATTTTTAGGGGAGACTAGTGCTCAGATCGCGAATATGAGTGAAGAATTGACAAGAAAGAATGAGGAGCTTCTCCATTACCAGGAAGAGATTTCCTCCCTCTTGTCTCAGATTGTTGATCTTCAGCATAAAATGAAAGAGGTTTGTGTGTTCAGAAGGATCTTTTGAAGGATGGGGATTTTGTTCTTTTAAGAAGAGGATAATTATTACTTTGAGTAATTTTCAGGGGGATAATTGTTTTCCTTGTGTCCTCAGCATGTAATTGAAAAGGAAGAATTGAAACTGCACCTGCAAGCTTCGAAAGATGCCCAGAGACAGCTGACAGCAGAGGTACTGGTGCCTTCTATGTCTCTCTTTGGCACATGAGAAAGAGATTAAAGTGGGGAAAAATAAGAACAGAGATTTCCCTCTCTGGTGAATAGCAGTCAGTTATGTGCATTTTCAAAACAAATTAAGATTTGGGCTTTTTTTCTGGAATATTTCTGCTGATAACATGAATTGGGATCTAATTTTGCTTCTTTTTATTGAATCAGTAAGCAGAACTGTAAGCTGGGTAGGTGGGGCTCGTCAGCCATGGAAGGCTTCCCATCTAGGAAAAGGGAAACTCCGATTTCAAACTTCCACTGCCTTGTGGCTATATCGACTCATAGAAAAGGCTTCAGGAGTTAACCTAGAGGCCAAATCCAGAGCTGGAGACCCGAAGGCAGTTCGTGTCGTTCTGCCAACTCCTGCGACGTTGCTGGAACCAGTTGTATTGGCTCTTGCCTTTCCATTGGACCATTTCAGCAACGTGGAGAGGGAGGGATCTGCTGCTTGGGTAACAGCCTATCCTCCATATTACTTTACCCAGGCTTCGTGCTTTGGAGAGGACACTCCTCGATACAGACCACGTTACCATAGTCTGTCGAGACTGAAGGATGCCTATGCTGAAGCAGAACTAATAGAATTATACCATGCTATATGCTTATGTTCCTTACAGGTTGTGCTAATTATCTACCTGTCAGAAATGTTTAGGATGATGTATTTTTAGGCATGTGCACATTCATATTCAGGCTGCAGACCTCTGGTGCCTGCAGGACAATTACAATCTTTGTTTTTCAAGACAGGGGGAATAGTTAAGGGTGGTCATGGTGGTGGACTGACCTCAGCTGTCAGGATATCTTTTCATTCTGAGGAAACCTTTGGAAGCTGCAGGACAGGGGGGGAATGGTCTTTAATCTTGGAAAAATGCTGAATGTCCAATGTAAAGTTGCACAATAGGATTTCAGCCAATATGTACCTATAAAAAAGGTCTGTGGAAAAACATAACTGCAAATAGCTCTCCTTCACTGGAGAGAAATCATTACTCTGACAAGGAAGAAAAAGGGAATCCTGAAAAACAGCAGGCAGAAACTTCTTGCTCTCTTCCCTTTCTGCTAGAGAGTTATTTTGTAGTATTTACACTGAGCCCAAAAAGAAACAAAATTAGGAAAATATACTGATGCTACACGAAGCATCACAAACGTGGAGATCCAGAACGGAAGTGTTTTGCCTTCGTTTCTTTTGCCTGGGGCAAGGGGAGGGGCTCATTTTCAAGCTGCTCTTCCAAACAGACGCTGAAATGTGATATTTTTTTCCCCTTGGATTGCTCGTGGTTGATTCCTTCAATATGTGTTGTGATCTCTGCCAGTTAAAATGACTGGACTGTCGTATTCTTGCAGCTGCACGATTTACAGGAGCGGAATGCAGAGTGCCTGGGCATGTTGCACGAGTCACAAGAAGAAGTGAAAGGACTGCGCAGCAAAGTCTGCCGGGCCAGCCTTCTCTGCCGCCCCCAGTCCTGTGGAGCATTTCCTGTGGTAACTCCTCCCCCACATTCTGTCAGTGCAACAGGTCCCGACAGTTCAGCAGAGTCTTTGGTGCTGCCAGCTGCTTTTAAGTCACTTGAAACCTCAAGGGCATGTTTGGAAGTCCTTGCTCCTGGGAATTGAGGGCGAGGGTGAGCTGGCAGTTAGCTGAGGGCTCCCCCAACTACGATTCCATCTGTTACATTTAGCCTTTCCTTAGGTTTCCTGCCCTCTTTTATTTTTAGTTTTATTTTTTTGTGGGTAAGATGGTCTCATTTGGAGAAGACAAAAGATGCAATGCCGTATAAGAAGGGTGAAGACGTTTCTCATGCATACTGTGATTCTGGTGTTACTTTTATAATCCGACCTGAAGTTCTGTTGTCATACACTTAGTGAAAGATTCTGAAAAGTACTTTTGCTCTAGCCCCAACAATGAAATTTAGAAATCCCTGCCTCTTTTGATTTTAGTATTATTGCAATGGAATTCCTGCATAATGTTTTCAATGGAGCTTTTGATGCCCTCTGCACTTCCTTGTGCCTTTTGCTGTCTCAGCAGCAGCTGGAAGTAAGGAAGGTGCAGGTAACTCCTGCTGATCAAGTATATAGATGTATTCATTTTTCTTTATCAAGAAGAAGAAGAAAAATAAATGACTATCCTTGATTTGCAGACCTTCCTTTTTCCTCCTCCTCCTCCTGAAACAGCAAAAGACACAAGGAAGCACAGAGGACATCAAAAGATCCATTGAAAACATTATGCAAGGAATCCATTACAATAATACTAAAATCAGTAGGGGCAGGGAATTATACATTTCATTGTTGGGGGTTGAGAAAAAGTGTACTATTCATTGCTTTTGCTCTAACTCCTAGGTTCCCAACCTTTGTTACTTGGATATTTTTGAACTGTAACTCCCAGAAACCCCAGCCAGCACAGTTGGTGGTGAAGGCTTCTGGGAGTTGCAGTCCACAACTCCTGAGTAAGCCAAGGTTGAGAACCAGTGCTCTAACCCACACAAAATGCATTGTTAAGGCTAGAGCAAAAGGAGAAAAAAACAAGAATATTGCTTAATACTTGGTTCTGAAGGGGTTCATGCATAGAAAGTATAGAAAGAGTTACTGGAAGATCATGAAAAGGAATTTTGCTAGGAAAGGCATGAATCTTAAAATGATGCCTAATTAAAATTAGAAGAAGTAATGCTATATGCATAGGCTGCGATTATTGGTAACTTACCTGCTTAGCTGAGGCTTAATTTTATGTCTTGCTGACCATTGCAGCATTTAAACCTAACATTAAAAGGGAATTATTTTAAAGTATTCCAGGCATACAGATCAAACAGTAAGTGTATCATTTGGAATTACTTCATTTCTTCATTACTGTCCAGGAAGCACCTTTTCATTTTGACGGCACTGCAGAAATGCAGCTGCTAGCTGATACCTGTCTTGACAGTTTTTAAAGAAACAATTCATTTCAACTCTCAGGTTTCTTTCTCAGAAATCCACTGCTATTGAAAGTTTCATTTGTTCTCAGCATAATTATTCGTTCTTTTTACGTTGCATAAAACGAATACCTATGTGATTTCAGAAAAATGAGCCTGCTTTGAATTTATTATAATGAATGTCACTTGTTTCAACGCCATAAGAACCTGTTCACACCCTGTGGTTTTTAGCTGAGTTTCCTTTGGTTTTCCTAGAACTGCTAGCAAGTTCAGGTTTGTTTTGGCTCAGTTCTCACTGAAATCAACCATATATATATATATAGCTGCAGTCTTATCCAGGATAATGGAAGAGGAGATTTTGAAGCTGTGGACACATTGATAGTTTGGCTTGGAATAAGGGGATTTTTATTTTTTTGCTTTCTTCTAATTGGAGATATCTTTTTATGGTGAATCCCATGTTCTGGTTGCTTCCCGGTTAGAGATGGGAATGAACCTCTGTTCAGAGGCTCATGCCAGTTGTTATGCGAAGCAGCACGGATGTGATACGTTCCCTTCCTCCACTTCCCTGGCTAGATTCCCCACTCACCAGTCAGCACACTCTCCTCTCCTCCTCCACTTTGGCTGTTCGACCAGTCTCCGGCAGGAGCACAGGTTTCCCTGCCCCACCTCCTTGGCTGATCACCCAGTTAGACTAGGAGGCAGGACAGGCATCATCTGTGCCCCTGCTGGGGACTGGTTGAACAGCCAAAGAGGAGGAGGAGAGGAGTGCGCTCTGACTGGTGAGTGGATCATTGACCAGGAGAGAGGCAGGGGAAGAGAATGCATGGCATGAACCTCCAAAACGAGGCTCATGCCCATGTCTGAAAGTTGAGTTTGCCTCTGCTTTCTAAGCAACTGATGAGAACATCTGCAGTAAAACAGGAGTAGCTAAATGGTGGAAGGAGGATAGGAAACAGTGATGCCTCACCTAGGTCTTGTGGAGAAAAGCAGGGAATCCAGAAAAAAATCCAAAGTTATCACCTGTCCCTTTGTTTTGTTAAATTGAGAAAAGAAAATGCATGCTGCCAATTTTCCTTTATGTGTCTTGAGGAACACATAGGAGTCGTCTAATGTACTATCTACTCCTTTAAGGAATCCTTGCTGGCAGAGATTGAAGGGACCATGCGGAAAGAACAAAGTCTGGATGCAGAATCTGCTTTGAAACAAAAGTAAGTAACATTCTTTGCTTTCTATCTTTAACGATTTTGACATGTCCCTGCTGTTGTCAGCACTAGGATTAAGACTGACTGGTATAGGTGGGCCTGAATATTCCATTTACAATGAAATGTAAAGTGTTTTGGACTAGCTGTAGTTTCTGAACACCTTTCAAAAGCAGCTACATATAATAAGTGTTAGGGTAACCCAAGTGGAATGTTAACTAAGGAAGGGGTCATTGTTACAGACTGATATTTGTATCCATTTCTAATAACTGCAAGGCCAAGTGGTATTTTCAGAAAAAGTAAACTTTTATCCCCTTAAAGTCTTTTAACGAACACTTTGCTGTAGGTCTGCAATCTCAGTGTTCTTTGATTTGTGCTTCTGAGGAATTTTTTTTTTAAATCATGTTTGCAGTTCTTTGCCAGTTGCTTGTAGCCATAGCTAACATTTCCTCCTTCAGTTACTCAGGCAGCATGGGAGCTTCTGTGGCCCATCTTCCTCCTGTACTCCCAGGATAACCTGAGAAGCCTTGGGCCAGGTGGGAGGATCTGAGGCACAGTTCCCTCCCAGGTGAGCCCAGGCTCTTCACTGTGCAAGAAGGCTCTGTGCTGCAATAAGTAGGCACGTGCCCTGCCCGCATAGCCCATCAAGTATGAGAGTGGTGAAGGGAGATTAAAAGAGATCCACACATTTATCTACCTCCTTGCCAGCTTCTTAGCTTGGAGCTTTGGGAGATAACTTGTCTTTTATGGAAAGCTTTTTGGCTTGCTTAAAGGGACCCTAGGAATTGGCATCACCACAATTGTTTTCATTTGTTCCTAAAATGCTGGGTTTTTAAAATGTTTAATTGAATTTTTATTTGGTAAAGCTTTAACATTTACAAAGTCAGGATTTAAATGTTTTAAAAAGAGGAATTGAAAAATGCAGGAAGAATGTTAAGCAAATAAATGGCATAAGCCCTTTGGGAGGGGCAAGGTGGGAAAGGACTTAGCTGAGAAATGTGAGTTCACAGAGGACCCATGGGATCAGAGAAGAGGAAAAGCAGGCATGTCCACATAGATAGAAAGAAGTGAACCTGTAGAAGGGAATGCTTGTTTGTTTGTTTTGTTTCAAAGCAAAACAAAACATGAACCACAAAATGACTGGTTTGGAATATCTGAATGTTCCAGTGTCTGTGATACACAGAATAAATATCTGCCTCGTTTGGAACAGGCTTTAGATGCATTTTAATAATCATTCTCTGTTTTCTATTTTAGGGATCAGCAAAAGCATGTATTTGATACCGTCAAAATTGCTAATATTGTACGTAGCCGTTCTGCATTGTGTCCTGTCCCATTGCCCATTCCAGGGTCAAATCAATCAAGTGTTGTTATGACAGCAAAACCTTTTCATTCTGGCTTGCAAGGTGTGGAAGGAAAGGAAGATCAGTCTCAGACAGCCAGGTCAGAGAACACTTCCAAGTAGCAAGTAATACTTATTATCACTTCAGACAAAGTAATGGAATGTCCACTGTCACCATTGGATGCTCCCCTTGTAGGAGAGTTTATTGTGGGGGCAGTTTCTGTTATCCCGAATCAAACAAAAGAACACTTCTCCCTTCTTCTTCTCTCTCTCTCTCTGTGTGCATGTACCATACTTCTTTGATATCTCTCTCTGTGTTGTTATTCTCTGAATCTGGCGTGCTATGTGAAAATTCTATTCCTCTTGCAAATATTCATCCACTGTGGAAAATATTTTGTCATATTTACAAAGGCACAGAAACGTTACTTCAGAAAATGGATGCGTAACTAAGGAAAAAGTGACTTTCCTTTCATTGCAGAGAGACAGTCTTGGGGCTGTCTGGCCCTGAATCTTCATCCACTTGGGGGGAACAGGTTGTTCACTCAGGGATGCCATTGCAAAGTTATAGGGAGCCTTGGCGCAGTATTGTATGGAAGTAATTGTAAATTATTCCTACTTCACCAGTGTAACAGCCACATACTTCTTTTGCTGCCATCAGCAACAACCAGTATTATATGTGGTTTTAAACACCACCCATTGGCTACAAAGGGAAGGGAGACAGACTGTATGCTGCCCACTACTAACTCAAAAACTTGGTCTTTTCAAAATATTATTATTATTATTATTATTATTGTTGTTGTTGTTGTTGTTGTTGTTGTTGTCGTCGTCGTTGTTATTATTATTATTATTATTATTATTATTATTATTATTATTATTATTATTATTATTATTATTATTATTATTATTATATAAAGTCCATCCATGCTTATTTAGCATTGTGTCACCTGGATTCAGCTTATAATCATTTCTTAATACAGCTATAATACATGTTAAACTCTTAATCTATACAACGTGCTTGTAACCCTTGATAATACAGGTTCAATGTTTGATAATATTCTGCATCTTCCTTTTCTTTGATTTTCAGTGTCAATCTGTTCATTTCTGCACAGTCCAATATCTTTTTAATTATTTCTTAATCTGTAAGTGTTTGTTCCTTCTTCTAACATTGTGCAAATATAATCCTTACGGCTGTTAAAATATGCAGTGTTAAGTATACATTTTGTTTTTCAAAGCTCTCTGGTATTATGCTTAATCAAAAGAGTTCTGGCTTCAAATCTACATTTTTTTTACTATTCTAATAAGCCATATATGTATTTTTGTTCTTCTTCCCCCCAAAAAAGTTGGTATTTTAATGTCTTGCTTCATCATGCATATAATTATGTATTTCCCATAGAGAGTCTCAAAAGCTGAGCCATCCTGGTGTTCCTGGAGAAGATGATTTAGCCACTGCTCAGAACAGGCTTCGTCTCCGTCATCAGAACTACCTGAGTGAAAAGCAGTTCTATGAAGAGGAGTGGGAGCCCAAGGTGCGTTTGCTGGCAGAGCAGAAGGAAGAATCCAGTGGTTATAGCACTCCGATCGAGAGCAGCCTTTCCCTGGGAAGCAGCTCAGAACTTTCTGACTTTTCTGGAACTTCTAGCCTCTTGCGCTCCCACTTCCCAGAGAAACTGCAGATAGTCAAACCCCTTGAAGGTAAGTTAATGACAGTGGACTCTCACTTTACAGCCAGCCCAGCCCTTGGGATCGTCAGCCAATCACTGCCTTGCTGTTGGCTGTTCATCCAAGTGGCATTCTGTGGGCACAGAGACCCTATTGTGTCAAAACCCTAACCCTCTTCTGGTTCCTTTTCTCTTTCGCCGGCTTACTGTGTTACCCCTCTTGTATTGCTGTCTCCTCCACCCCACCTCCACCCTTTCAGTTAAGCATGAAACAGTGCACCTGGAATGCTATGGTCTGGTCAAGCCCTTTTCCCCCTTTCACTAAAACAAAAATAATGATAAATTCTCTGGCTCAAGTTGTTTGTGGAAATGGAACAGGTGAAGAAAGTAGACCCTTATTGCCATTGCCTGATTAAAATCTTCTCTGCGACTCAGGGGCCCAATAATATTTTTCCTTATGCCGGGGAATAAGAAAGATGCAGTGTGAAAATCTCACCTCTTTGGTTGTTGTGGGTTTTTCGGGCTCTTTGGCCGTGTTCTGAAGGTTGTTCTTCCTAACGTTTCGCCAGTCTCTGCGGCCGGCATCTTCAGAGTTCCACACTCTACGTGCTGTCCCCTGAAGATGCCGGCCACAGAGACTGGCGAAACATTCGGAAGAACAACCTTCAGAACACGGCCAAAGAGCCCGAAAAACCCACAACAATCACTAGATCCCAGCCGTGAAAGCCTTCGCGAATACATCTCACCTCTTTGTTTGTGTGCCATTTGTGTGTATTTCTTCTCCACCAGGCTCTTTGACCCTGTCCCACTGGCAGCAGTTGGCAAAGCCTAACCTTGGTACCATTCTGGACCCACGCCCTGGAGTGGTCACAAAAGGTTTCACCGATCTCTCTCAAGAGGACGACTATCACCTTTCTGATTTGGAAGAAGATGACAACGAAAGGGAAGATGGCATAACTTTCCAAGTCCAGCAGCCACCTTCAGAGGGAGGGAAACTTTCTGAGCCAAAATCAATGCCAGGAATTTTCCTACCACCTGCTAAATTGCTAACCATTCCCCTCACAGGTACGGATTGGTAATCTTTGTTATTTTGGTTCCCTTTCTGGTCTCTGCCTATAGCAACTACTGTACTTGTGCTGGAGCTTTAATAGAATCAGAATAACTCAAGTAGGGGATGCAAGTGTGTTGTTGGAAAGCCTGAAGCAGTAGCTCACTTCCTGTCCAAGGGCAGGTAGATTTTTGTGGTACAGGTGGAATCTATGGGAAGCACCCAGTACTGCACTAAGGAAAGGCAGTGGCTGAAATGTTATGCATTCTCCCTCCTTTCAGAGCCCTCTGAAAATGCTATACAGAGGGGTGGGAGTCTTTGTCAGTCAAGTGGGTTAAGGCATGAGGAGCTGCAAGGGAAAGGGATGTGCCCATAATCAAACAGAGACAGCCACCATGATCAGGAGCACTGCCTGTGGAAATCTGGAAATAACTCCCTCAGGCCCCCACCCCTCAAAAGGGACCACAACTTTCCCTGTAACCTTTTCATGGGGTTCCCCAAACTGCTGAAGGAGGGAGACAGCAAATTTGCTTTCAGGAGCTCTTTGCTGTCACTACAGTGTTGCATATGAGGAGTACAAGTGAGAGTCATGGTTAACAGTCACAGGCTTCCTACTGCCGATCTTAGGAATGTTAACAGTGTCAGGTTTTTGCCTGTCTTTGGAGAATGTCTTGGCCTGTCTTTTTAGAATGATGGCTTGAAAGTAGTGTGTGTTGCATTTTCTTTCTTGGAAAAACACTGGAAGAATCTCTTGTTTTTGTTTTGTTTTGTTTTGTTTTGTTTTTGCACTTATTAATTCAGGATTTGAAAAGTTTTTGCCTTGCTAGTCTGTTATCCATCCCCTTTTCATCATATATATTTATATTTATGTTATGTTTATTTTATAGTTTCCAATCCTGGAAAATGCCTCTCGTCAACAAACTCTACATTTACTTTTACCACTTGTAGGATCCTCCACCCATCTGATATCACACAGGTTACACCCAGGTAAGATATAATCAAATTCCAGGTGTAATTACTGTAGAACCCCCATACCCAGGGGTTCAGTATCTGCTGATTCACTTAGCCACAGTCTGAAAATATAAAAAACATTACAAGAAAAATCCTAGGAATATATAATTCTAAAGGTGAAGTTACCAGAACTGGCCACTGGAGGAAGCCAGAGACCATGCTGTGTATAGCGTTTGCTATTAAAATAGCATTCACCGTAATCCACATTTTTCAACATCCACAGGGGGGCTTGGAACCAATCCCCCAATATTCAGGTAATCTAGAAGACTGCAAAGCAGACATCACTTTAACATCTATAGTAAAAACTTTGAAAAGAGGTAGGAACAAAGGAGGGGGAAAAATGCAGTTCATAATACATTGTCATGTAAAGGAAAAGAGGCAAGGGCTTTTGGTGTTGATACAGATATACTAGCCTTGATGTCTGAAAACGGTTGTGTTTTCTTTTGCTCTTTCTTGCTAAGGATGTTAGTAATGCTATTCAGTATATATCTGTGTCCCCCTCACCCCTGACATTTTTTGTTCACAGCACTCCCTTGTGCAGCAGTACAAGCAACACCGCTACAAGCTCTCCGGCCATGTCATACAGGCTTAGCATTGGAGAATTTCTCAGTAACAGAAGAGAGTCAACTACCACCTTCAGCAGCACCAGAAGCTTAGCTAAGCTTCTGGAAGAAAAGGGCATCTCGGCAAAAGTGTACAACAGTCCAGTCTTGGAGCAAATGTCACTCTTTCAGCCCCTCAAGATATGTACTGTCCCTTCAACACCACCAAATTCTCCTTTGCTTTCACCTTGTCCTTCCCCTTTGCCTTTTGAGTCTCGAACAAGCATGTCTGAAAACTTCCTGGCCTCCCGACCAGCTGAAACTTTACTTCAGGAGATGTACAGACAGAAGTCCTCTAGTGCAGATGCCCAGCAGCTGAAGATGAATCTGGTGGAGAGGCTAAAGAAACTGGGTATTGCCAGAGTTGTTAAGAGGGGGGAATCTGGGAGGGGTCAAGGGACAAAAGGTGGCCTCCAGAGGCAGGATTCCCTTGGGTATGTAAACGTAGGCAGCAATCTGCTGGGAGGACTGAGGAGAAACCACAGCCTTCCAGTCTTAACTGGAGCACTTGGAGGTCCAATGAGCACATCAAAGATGGGAGTTCTGAAGGAGGACTGAGCAGTGCAGTAGGATTGACAAGATCTGGAAGAACAATGGAGAATGTTCGTGGAGTAGGATGTACAGTACGGTTAACAGAACGTTCATCAAAAGAGGGTTGTTGAAGGTTGTCTAAGTGGTTGGGGGAGTCTGCATGAAAAGAAGGCATAGCTTTTAAGAGAGCAAAGAAAAGGAGTAGGGGGAGGAAACCAAAGTTCAACCTTAAGACCACTGAAAATGATTAATCTTCTACCGAGCCGTAGGAAGCAACACAAATATGTAATATTTTCTGCCTCTGACATTATATGTACAGAACAGTAAGTACTAATGTACATTCTATTGCTTGAGAGTGTTTTATCAGATGCTGTTTGAAAAATGCATTCTGAGGGGAGTAGTGAAAATACTGATCCAGAACAATGAGTGCAGTCTGTCCTTAGAAGACAGCTCATTGTGTTTTATAGAATTAATGTAACTTTAAATATGCTTGCTCACCAAAAAAAAAAAAAAAAAA